AGAATATGATCCTATCCGTGACATATGGATCTTAACAAATATCCGCTATATCAGATACCTGTAGATCAGCTGTTTATTTCACATGAGTTCCAGTGTGGCAGCTTTTTAATCACAGCTCCCCCTGGTGGATCCATTATCCATTGCAGCTGGTTTCATTATAATTAAATGTATTTATCAAGGGGGCGTTTCAAGTCCTGCAGGGGGGTTTTCCTTTTCAGCAGGGGCCCACCCCGTGCCGATCACGGACCCGCACGGGTAGGCGTCTGAAATGGAGCGCTCCATCTGTAGTACTGTACTTGCCCTTTAGCTTTAGCCGTGTTCGTGGTGATTGTGTCTTTTAGGGAATATTGTTACAAATACCAGACAATTCAAATGTCGTGCTGTGCGCTTGAATGTACCAACAGAACTTCCAAGAAGTCTAAAATGATAATATTATACATGTTAACCCCGTTCGCAAGTGTTTGTGTGCTTGGTAGCTTAGCTCGTTACTTATTAGCCAGCTAAGGACGTAACCCTTTATACATACATATACATTTTAGTTTATGATTCAGCCTTGGGTAAGACTTTTATAGTCTATGGCTTTGACGCCCATAATGCTAAACGGGAGCAAATGTTAATAGGGGACCCAATTATCCCAGTGGTGGCCGCCGGAGCTAACGGAGCCGCAGGGGGCTAGCTCCAGCCGGCGTCCCGGAGCTAGCCCACTGCAGCTCCGTTAGGTCCGAGCGGTAGAGTCCGTCGTTATAACTGAAGATCAAGGAATGCAGCGAAACGCAGACTTTGTTCGCCTGCTGTAGTATTAGCTAAATAAATTATGTTGAACAAGGCTTATTAAGCTGAACATCGCCACAATTGTTTTGCTATGTATCGGTACTTATTTTCTTAACGTGTGAATGACAAGCATTAAGAATAACAAAATATAGCTAATTCTCTTGCAGATTGTCTCATTTGAATATGAATGTAACGTTTATATAGGGCAGTGGTTCCCAACCTTTTTTCCCAAGAGCCCCCCCAAATGACTCCCGTTGGAAGGTGGGCCCCCCCCCCACACACACAAGGGGGGGGGAGGGGCAACAGCGGTAATTAAAGTTTAAAAGTCTCAAAAATGCTACAACTACTGTCACAAACTGGATGAATGTGAAGTATTTTGTTAAAGGAGGATGAAAGCGTAATTCAGGAGCACTATTGGAGTGACTTTGATGGTTATTGGACTCAGGATTCATTCATTTGGATTCCCGCTGAATGAAGAAATTAAAGGACGGCGCGGAAGTGGAAACAATTCACAAAGGGATTAATGTTTAAAACACATGCTCAAAGTAAGCCGGATTTTGCCGATGTGTTTATGTGGATTCAAAAGTCGTAAATAATCTACAAAATGGAGGAGACCGATCTGATCGGAGCAACTGTGACAAATAATCCAACTGAAACAAAATGCGCTTATCCAGAAAAGCCCGGTTTGGACACTTTACGGGCAGAAGAAACATTTATATTAAAGAAAGAATTATACATTTCTGTCTTTTTATTCCTTTAATAGCTACTAACTTGAATTGTTATTCAAATTAATTATCAATTATTTGTTATTGTAATGTAGAGACAAGGCTTTTAGTGACAATCATGTATTGCTTTACAATTATATGTAAAAAAAAAAAATAAAATAAAAAAGTCTAAATATGATATTTGGCCTCAAATCATCTGAGGCCTGGCGCCCCCCCTGCGATCTTTGGCTTCTCGGCAACTCTGCAGAATCCTATGGGTGACGTCACGGACACTACGTCCATTTATATATACAGTCTATGGTCCACACACATATTTTTCAATGCACACACAAAAACTTATCATTTTATAAATGTAAAAAAGTTTCACAAATATATTTCTGATCAAAAACACATTTGAATGTTGTTACATTTATATAAAAAACGCTTTCTGTGTGTGAAGCTCTCTGCATTTGTGTGTGGATTTTTGAGACTCCCCTGACGCAGCTAGATTCACACACACGCTTTTTTTAAGAGGCGAGTGTCTTTGGCCAATCAGATGTCTGCTTCATTTTAAGCACACACATGCGGGTGTGCCCCCACGGAGGGTGTGCCTAATGCATTTCCAACATAGTGAAACATCTACGCGGTTTGCGGAGTCTGGGGGTGTGAAAGTTCAGAGTTCATCTCCATCAACATAGCTTCTGGAAGTGGCGCTCCCGCTAACGCCCCGTCTACACTACAGGCATCGAAAAATGCTTTCACCACTTCGCCCATTCACTTGAATGGGGTGACGTAGTTGATTTTGAATCTTCGCCGAACTGCATTGTGGGGAGCGGAGCGTGGCTTTGCAAGCATCGTGAGCATCAAAAGTTGAGCAATGTTCAATTTTTGAGGCTCGATGCTTGGCATCAGCCAATCAAATCCCGTTTATGCAAATCCCGCCAGTACAAGCGCTAGCCAATCAAACCGCGTGCAAGCTGGGAGAGCCAGACCGCAGTTCATTTCCTCATATTCCAAACGAGAAATTACGGTAGCAAATCACCCGGTTCTTTACGACCAGAACTATTTACCGGGATAAAAACCGGAGGAACCAGGCATGGAGGGAGGTGGCAGAGACAGTGGGTGAAACTGGTAGGTTTTCGCCTGTTTGGGGATTTTATATCCAGTTTACTTCGTTTTAACATTGCTATTGCTTTGTATGTCGGGGGCGGGAGATTCATGTGATTGGTTGTTGGTCGCCTTGGGCGCGAGAAATCGCCAAGCTTCAGACACGCCCAGCTTCAAGATTTTTTGATGCCTGTAGTGTAGACGGCCCGTAACAGTGTAAGTGAGGTATAATACTTTCACATCTTTTCGTTAGTCATGCAATAATCTCGAACTATACATTATTACGTTTGCTTAATTATGAAGCAAACGTAACAGCGTTTGACAGTGTCTATCGCCTCAAGTCGAGGGAGCAGCAATTATTAGCCAGGGAGCTTACTTCACCATTAACCCCATTGCAAGTTAGCACAACAGAGAGTGTACAAGTCAGCGTACCAGCCAGGGCGGGAGGCAGTGCCCAACCTGTGCCTAACACCGATGTTAGGGTGAGGCAGGCGATGAGAAGGTGATTTAATTGACTAGTTCTACATCTGTCAGTGCAAGGTCAAACAGTATATTTCTTATTTAAATAATGTAAACAAAACCATCAACTAAAGCCACATACACGTGTATGATTTATAAATCTTCTATAGAGTTATTAGAGTATCTCCTTTCTCTAACAATTTCAATTGTCATTCCTACATCAGGCAGTTCCCAAGTATGTTTAATACTGATCAGCCAAGAGAGAAAAGAAGGTTCCCAACCCCTGCCTGTATTGTGATCAAAAGCACAGACTTGTATGTTTATGTACTTGCGGGACCCACTCAATTGACACCGAAGGCCTCAGAAGAGCTTGAACTTGGTAATATACATATATACAAAACAATATTCTAGAATGCTCAATAATTGAACAATTGTAATCATTTGCTGTATAGTGAATCTTATTTCATTTTGTTTTAAAGATTGTGGCTGTAGTTCAAGAGGCTTTATTTAGATTTAGATTTAGGCTCTGCTGCTCTTACAAGCCTTTTTGAAGGGGAAAATGAACACCAGGTTCCCTCAGCAGCTGCTATGCCTCTTTGAGATGGCAGGTCGAATGATTGGCCATTCCTTCCTGCATGGTGGTTTGGGTCTCACAGGACTCAGTTTGCCTATAGTGACTCTCTTGACTTGGGGGAGCATGGACACTGCGGCATCAGCTTTGACCCTGCTGGACTGTCCTGATCTGGATTATCGGGAAACGATTGGTTTTGTGAGTATCTTGGTTACAAGTTGACATGCTTCATACATTTCTCATCTTGTGCATAATCAAATATTCCATTCATAGGTCATTGCTGGGCTGTTATGCTAGAAATGATTTACAAAGCTTTTGTGTCTGTCTTTTACACCAGACATTGGCTTTTTTAATTTGTTTTGGAATTGTTGTTGATTGCTTGTGCACAACTATGCCTGTAATTCTTAAATTTGTTCCTGTTTTAGCTCAAAAAAGCAGTACTTACTGCAGAAGAAACCAGCAGTGTGACCGATCTCTGTCTGTCCTGGGACCTCCCTGTTCCAACCTCCACCAACTACGACTGGCTGTTCCAGGAACTGCTTTCCCATGCTGTAATATTTTTCTATTTAATTATTTGGTAAACAGTTAGGAGGTTAGCTTTGTAAGCCAGGCTGCTTTTTGCTACTATATTGTCTTTCCAATAGAGTAGTGCCTCAGTGTAAATGTTGCCTTCTGTCCTTTCAATTCTGTGTGTACTCTAGGTCCTTCACCGTGTTAGGCAGCCTGTCAAAAAAATGCGCAAAGGCATTTAAGAAACTGGAATCTGGCCTCTTCTTACGGAAAGGCCGGATGTTCACCCGATCCTCTTTCCTAGAGAGTCAAGTCAGGATCTCAACTCGCAGGTAAAGCTGCTTTTGTCTGTATTGGATTTGTTAATTATTGCATTTGTTTAAAACATTTCTATGTAATTTCTTTTTTTGGAGACTCACTGCACAGAGTTTTACAGTTATTTTTCAATCTTAAGCATTAAACTAATGTGTATATGATCCCATGTAGACTTTGATCCAGCACATCAACTGGCCACAACCCAATAGTAGCAGCAACGAGGACAAACCTTACCCTGTTCCATTGGAAAAAGTCAGTGTCATCACTGGATTTTTGCGGCAGTTTATAGAGGAAGGTAACACTCTTCTTATTTTATCTTTTATTGCATCTCTATTTGTATTTAGTTGTTTTGATGTTAAAATTACTAAGCATGTACCAAAAAAGCCAGCATAGCGTAGCTGAAGAGATGGAAGTTCTAAAAACACAAAATGCACATATATCAAGGTACACATATGAATCTATGCATGGGGTACATGATATTTATTAAGGTTTTATGGACTCAAATTTCTAGTTTTGATGAAATGTTAAATACATAAACATTTGTTCTTTCATAGTGTCGCCGGACATACTGCGCAACCTCATGAGGTTCTGGGTTGGGTGGGAGCTGCCGTCAAGATACCTAAATGTGGAGGTTGTTACGGCAAAACACCCCGTGGCTCTGACCTGCTTCACCAAATTGAAGCTCCCCAGCCATTACAAAACGTATGAGGAGTTCTACCAGGACATGATGATGGCTCCATCGATTCAGGCTTTGGGCTTGTGTAGTTGCATTTCAAGCTAATAATGCTCTTGCACTCCTAGTTCCTTTTCCTAGTGTTACAGTTGTTGTACCAATATATACCAACAGCTTTTACACCTGCAGCTTTTTTTCTTTAATAAAAGAGTTTTGGTAGAATTATTTTTGGCTATTATCATTGTTACACTTTTACACTTGCCACTCCCTTGAACACAAGCAGTACATTCAATTATGGTTCTTTATTATTCATATAGTAAATCAAACTCAATTCAGTTGCTAAAAAACTGTATTTGACAATTAAATATTTAAAGTAGCCTTAGGTAAACAAATCATTTTGTTCCCCAGATTGAAACAACACCGCTTTCCTTTTCACGATGAGGTTAAAAAAGGTTGATATAAAGGGACACTGACCAATTATTGTATTCTATACTGAAAGGGGATTTTTGGAGAATTAGTACATTAGAAATGTATAAAACATAACCATGTACTCCTGATGCAGCACCTTTCCTTAACAGTACACATGATATTATCCTGTCTTCTCACATGACAGCTTGCTGATTACAACCTTTTGTTTATCAACCTACAAATCTGAGGGACTCGTTTAGCGTCTCCTATTACCGCCAACACTTCACTGAAAAGTTAACTCTGTATAAACTTACATTTCTCTTTTACAATTCCAATCCAGCAACTGCAATTTGAGTTAAACAATTTTAAGTTGCAAGTACAGTTAAGGACAATAAATGTTGATCCTCATTATCTGGCTTCAATGAGGTTCTCAACGTATTGGACAGTCTCGAGGTAAATGTCAACTCCAAAACAATCCGATTCTTGTAGTGGATCGATTGTGTCCTGCAGCAGCATCATTTCAGGATCTGAGAGGGACATTGACCCCGGGATGATGCTGATTTGAAAATCCACTCTCTTCCCACTGGACCTCTGGTATGAGAATACCCTGACAAAGACAAATGGTGTGTATATATGAATAACCTTTCATATGTATTAACGCATTAAACAAGCACTATGTCATTATCACAACTTCATACAAAATAAGATAAAGAAAAGGTTATGCAATTTTCTATAAATACAAGTAATGATTGTGGTATATGTGAAGGTTATTATGGAAAAGACTTGACTTTACACATGTGGTGAAAAACAAACCTAGTCTTGAATGTGATTATAGTTATGTGTAGAGAATAAGAACCTAAATGTAAGGATGTTTGTTTTTTTATTGATTGAGGATCAACAAGAGATTGTGATGAGATGTTTTAACACATTTGGAATTAACCTCAGGATCAGGATCTGCCACAGGATGCAGTGCTTGGCCCACCTGCCACAACTGGTTTGGGGTCATGTTTTGCTCTGTCCTGATTGGATGGTTGGCCCATGCCTCAGTGAACACATCAAGGTTGGCCTGGATGCGTGGCAGGAAAACATAGTGGCAGGATGCTGCTGATGTCAAGCAGGTGTTGTTCCTCAAGAGAGTGCAGGGTGTTGTAAAACACACCCGTAACACTCATGAACACATCACGCCAGAGACGTTCAATTCTGTATTTGAAAGAAAATGTGTCATAAGTTGTAGTTACAGATAATTTGAACAAACTGTTCAATTTTCAATGTTCAAATGTAATATTGTTTTAATTTGGCAATAATCCATTGAATGACACAAGAGTCATCATAAAGTACATTTTTGCTTGAAAATGTTCATGACCTTGGCCTGTAAATTCCTTTTAAAATTAGAATTTTCTTCTGAAAGTTTGTTAAAGGAGATGTTAAGAATGAATAGTCTCAAAAGCTTCCAAAATTAGGTTTGACTCACCGTTGGTCGTGTACGCTTTTCCCTGCAATAAAGCTGTTAATGTCAGTTCCACGAACTGAGAACATTAATTCTGCTACTCCAACATTTTCCCCTCCATGATCTCCTCTCACTCTGAAAAACAAATCAATTATATGCTTCAGGAAAATTATTGCACAATTAAAATATATGTAGTATATAAAATATATTACACTACAGTATACTCCCAATAATGTAGTGCCATAAAAATTGAGGAGAGGCCCAGTTTTAAACCCCTACTGTACACAATTGTGTTAACAATTATAGCTGTGTCAGCAAAGCTAATGTTTCTGAGCGCACTTTAGAGGCCTGGAAAGGTATGTGATGGCTATTGTTTTATCTTGTTGGTTCAAAATGTGCCTCTTTGAACTAAGACACAATGTGCAGCTATTTGAGGGGAGCATACTATGGGAGGTCCACAATCACAGTACAAATTACATTTGGAATGATATGAATACCTCAGTGGATACCCATGCTCGTTCACAGCTTCATTGAAGAAGACCAAGTGGGTGTCAGACCGGTTGTTGTCTGCTACCTTCAAGTACATAATCTATACATACAATTAAATATATAATATAACACATTATCAACTTGATCAATTAGTATTCATTGCAACATAAATCAACTGACAAATGACATGAAACGGTAAGAAAACTAGACACCTCAGAATGATTTGATGTTATATCATGAAGTCTCTTGACAAGAGAAATCAAGTCAAAGCTCAATAGAAAGGACTGAATACTTTACATGAATACTATAAAAAGAGAATGTTTCAATGTTAAATCACAGCCTCAAAGTGAACATATAGGCGGAATAGTGGAAACGGTGGAATAGGCACTATTCAGTCAGTAAAAAAATAGAAATTACGACTTTGATAAATTAATTTCCAGTATACAAAGCCTGCTTCCCCTCACGAATGAAAAAGAGTAGGTTACTACCCCCTATTTGTACAGAAAATAATCTGAAGCCTAATAAAAAAAACAAAAAAAACACCACTCTTGTTTAGCAACATTTTTGCAGTTGTTACTTTTTGACAGTATAAAGTCTTACCTTTCTTGAATAGCCATCTATTCCTCCAAAGATAACAAAGTTGTATCTAAGTTTAAACAAATAAGAAAGAAAAAAGTAACTCCCAAACACAATACAAAACATCCACAGAAGCATAGATCTCACATAGAATATGTATGTGAATGAAAGCAAAACCAAATTTGTTCATGCTACGTTATGCTATGTTTTGTCAATGGTCATTTTTAAATATTATTAAAAAAACCACAAGATATATAAAACTAGAAATGAAAAATAATATAATGAACACTTCACATACAGATAGCATGAAAACACACCTGATTAGCTTGTGATTGGTGTCGATGTGCACCATGTACTTAGGGTAAGGAACTGTGTATGTTCTCCTCACCACACATCCCATCCGGGTCATCCTGGAGAGCACACCAACACTGTCCACACGATGCATGGATGCACACTAATACTCTCTCCTGCTGGATGAGAGTATTAAGGTCTGCAAGTGCAGACAGAATGTATTAAGGTCTGCAAGTGCAGACAGAATGTTCTCTCCTACATCAACTAGAGCACTTAATAGAACACAATCCTGACAACACGCAAACTCTAACCCTTCGATGTCTACAGGTGTCCTCTCCAGGATGTGTGTTAGTCGATCATGCAGTCGTTGAAAGATGTCACGCTTCAGTGATTCCTAGGGGATAAATTAAGAGATTAGATTAGAGATGACAAACATTGATCTGAAAATTATTGTTTGTTAGCTGCTCCATAAATGACAAGTTCTGCATTAAAAGGTCATTTTATTCACCCACTAGCTAAGGCTTAGATTGTAGATGGCTAAAACCATTAGCCATCTCATATAGTCATTAAAGCAGTCAACCGCTGGGTTATATAGGAGTAAACAGCTGACTTCACTGGTGGTGGAACACTGTTGGGCAACAGAAGGTAAGCTAAGTTACTTTATGATCCTACTCATCCTAGTTTGTCTATTAGCATTATTTAGCTTACTTGTTCGCACATGTTAGTATTAAATGCCACACATAATACATAGATAGTAACAAAGCAACCATTCATAGCTTAAACATACTTAATCATGAACGACAATATACTTCGACTTGAGGCGATAGACCCTGTCTATCAGTTATTTTCAATAACGTCAACTTCATTTAAAGATAATACTTGATAGCAGTACAACCAATTTAGCATACAGAAACTTTAGACAGACTTAGCAGCGCAAGCTAATGTTAGCTTATTAGCTACATCACAATTAAACCTACTAAACAAGTTCCAAATATCCTCAAATATTGCTTCATAATTAAGCAAACGTAATAATGTATAGTTCGAGATTATTGCATGACTAATGACAAGATGTGAAAGTATTTATACTTCACTTACACTGTTAGCGGGAGCGCCACTTCCAGAAGCCATGTTGATGGAGATGAACTGAAAATGAAGCTTCTTTTAAACTGTATGTAAATAACCTGCTTAAAAAACTGAGGGTTAGGCTAGGTTTTTTTTATAGAAACAAGTCCTGTTTCTCTCTTGAGGCCAGGAAAAGGCTAGTCACTGTGACCTTTTTACCTGTGCTGGACTATGGTGATCTATTTTCAACCCAGTCTCACTGCATTTCGTGTTCACCAACACGATTTTGAATCTATTGATTCGTGTTCCCCAACACGATTTGCCACTTTTTTTCGTGTTGCACAGCACGATTTTTTTTTCGTGTTGCACAGCACGATTTTAAAAGCAATGTATTTCTACTGCTTGCAGCACGTCTTTTTCTCCGGTCGGGTCGAGGAAGGCCTGAAGCTGTGTGGTTCATAAAAACATGTTCTTACTCAATATCAAGCCACAATTATTGCTTTTATTTTAAATCGTATAATTTCGGACTTTTGTTGCCGTCTGTGAGGAAAAGAAATGGGGCTCAGAGCCTCAGAATACTGAAATCTGTATTTTTTAAATATTTTTTCCTTCTAATTTGTTATTATTTTCAAAATAACACACTGTTATTTACTCACCAATAACACACAATTATCCTTGCTTTTATTTATTGGTTTAATTCCATAATCTCGGGCTTTTTTGGCGTCCGTCAGGGACTGAATTTCAAAATAAAATATTCGGAAACAGACGTATAAGGGACATTTCGAGCGTCATTGCGATTGTCAACCTTTCTGAGTTTAGGATGGCCGAAGACTCTACACTACCCATAATCCCCAGCTATCGTTTAGGACTACAGTCCCCCGTAAGGTTACGCAGAGCGTCAAACAGCTGTGTGAAATGGAACGAAACCACGACAGACTATCCAAAACTGGAATCGAACGCCCCCCCCAGAACTACACATGCTGGATGCTGGCTGTTGTGTTTCGCCAAATGTTCTATGGGACGTCTCTACTGAACGTTTTTGTTTTTCCCACAATTAGAAGTTGCCAGTATTAAACACATTGGCGTTATCAAATGTAAAACTATTATATATTATTTATTATAATTAATAAATGGGTGAAAATCGCTATATATACCCACATGACAGCTCATTGTTACTTTGTAATTCTACTCAACTACAATTCAGAGGTTAACCTGGTATTTTTACTCCACTGCATTTATTTGAGTTACTTTGCAGATTCTGATTAATTATGTGAAATATAAACAACCCTTAAATCAGACTTTATTTACACCTGAGTAAAATTCAGGTAAGGTGATTGTCAAGTGCCAACAATCAGGAGAGATATTTGATAGTTGGTGCTTGAGAAGACTAAACATTTATCTGCAATTGACATGAATGGAAACGAGTAATAAAGTATATTCATTACTCGTTATTCTCTACTAATAGTTAATTAAAGACTGTATATTATGGCTATTTTGCACATCCCTTTCAAGATTTTCAAAGGTTTATTGACATATCATATACACAACTACGGTGTAGTAATGCAATGAATGAAACACTTGTGTCACAGGTTCCTCAACAGCGCATTACAAGACATCTATCAATATGTGTGTACCTCCACCATTAAACTGTCATATTCTGCACATTTCTTATTCTATCTACATACATACGAGTATAATTCATATGTATAATATCAGTTAAAATAAGTGCTTCAACATAGTTAACATTGCAGGAAAGCAATATATTAGACGTTAAGTACTTTGTCAGGCTTAATATTTATCTGTAGATAGATACCCCGAACGTTTTTTTCTTATTTAAAAGAAGACCTTAATCTGTTATTTAATGTTTAAATAAAGGTTCATTCGTTTTTCTGTTTTGCACCTCCTCCTATTAATATCTTTGTACATGCTGCACTAAACTGTTTTATTGTAGAGATCACTTTATAGTATCTTCTTGATTTTTTATATTCTATATTTCTATATTTATACTTTCCCCCTATGAAAGTATGTACTCTTAATATTTTTTTAATCAAACACAATAATTCAATAACGTGCTTTAACCACTAGATGCACACAAGGTACACAAATGTTTTCCGGATTTCATATCATATAAACACCAAATCCCAGCATGCATTGCGGCTAAAACATCCAATAAACGAGCTTAAAACCATAGCTGAGGATCTTGGGTAATGCCTATGTCCGGTTATTTTTATTTTGAAATTCAGTCCCTGACGGACGCCAAAAAAGCCCGAGATTATGGAATTAAACCAATAAATAAAATCAAGGATAATTGTGTATTATTGGTGAGTAAATAACCGTGTGTTATTTTGAAAAGAATAACAAATTAGAAGGAAAAAATATTTAAAAAATACAGATTTCAGTATTCTGAGGCTCTGAGCCCCATTTATGTTCCTCACAGACGGCAACAAAAGTCCGAAATTATACGATTTAAAATAAAAGCAATAATTGTGGCTTGATATTGAGTAAGAACATGTTTTTATGAACCACACAGCTTCAGGTCTTCCTCGACCCGACCGGAGAAAAAGACGTGCTGCAAGCAGTAGAAATACATTGCTTTTAAAATCGTGCTGTGCAACACGAAAAAAAGGGGCAAATCGTGTTGGGGAACACGAATCAATAGATTAAAAATCGTGTTGGTGAACACGAATCAATAGATTAAAAATCGTGTTGGTGAACACGAAATGCCGTGAGACTGGGTTGCTATTTTATATGAATGCGCCGGCCAATTACCTCACCAAGATAGATGCCGCCTATCATAGTGCACTAAGGTTTGTGACAGACTGTAAGACTTTGACTCATCATTGTACCCTGTATACAAGGGCAGGGTTGCTTTCACTTACTGTACGGCGGCTAAATCACTGGTATCTTTTTATTTATAAAGCAATGTTAGGGAAACTTCCGTCTTACATCTGTTCCCTGATCTCACAGCGTATTGTAAATGGCTACTGCCTGAGATCTAAAGCTGTGGTTGTATTACATGTGCCAACTGCTAGGACTGTATTAGGAAATACAGCTTTTAGATGCGCAGCGCCGCTAGCATGGAACAGTCTACAAAAGGAATGGAAGCTAAGCAGTTTGATTCCATTTCATGTTTTTAAAGCTAGGATAGACGCTATACAATCAGAAAATATTGGTGTCTGTAAATGCTACTAGTATACAAACTGTAGTATCATATAATGTCCTTTGTTTTCTGTCATGTTTGTATTAATGTTTGGAACTAATTGAAGCAGGTCACCATTGTAAAAGAGGTCTATGATCTCAATGGGTTTTATCTGTATAAATAAAGGTTTTGAATTGAATTGAATTGAAGCAGACATCTGATTGGCCGAAGACACTCGCCTCTTAAAAAAAGTGTGTGTGTGAATCTAGCTGCTTCAGGGGAGTCTCAAAAATCCACACACAAATGCAGAGAGCTTCACACACAGAAAACGTTTTTTATATAAATATAACAACATTCAAATGTGTTTTTAATGTAACTATTTGTGTGTGGATCAGAAATATATTTGAAACTTTTTTACATTTATAAAATGATACGTTTTTGTGTGTGCATTGAAAAATATGTGTGTGGACGAAGACATTTATATATAAATCCGGAATTACATTTGTGTATCCTTTTGTGTGCCTTTATTTATTTTTGAGACTGAACTGACCCCATAGAACACAGCACAATCGTTTATTTAGTTTATTCAATGAAACCATTTTCAATAGACTACAATAACTGGCTATGATTTCTTAAAAGGTGGGGCCACAAGGAGGGGATTTTTCATAAATCATGAATTAATCACATTAATAACAGGCGTAGTAGCAATAATACTTTTTTATGCAATATTAGCTTTCAGAATGAATTGGTGAAAGCATAGTGTTGAAAATTGTAGAGAACATTTATTTGTTCCTCAAAATGCAAATC